GAATATCAGCCACCATATTGTCAGTCCCAATATAGTTCAAATCCAACTGTTTCTTTTGAATTAAGTCCCTGATGAAATGTAGATGAATAGCAAAATATTTTACGACTCCCTTGTTAACGTCGTTTTTCACAAGAGAAATACATGCTTGGTTGTCCACAAACATTTTGAAATCAATTAAATCGAGTTTGATTTCGATCAGTAAATTCAACAGGAATAATCCTTCATTACAGGCTAACGAAAGAGCTGTAGCCTCTGATTCAGCTGTAGATTTTGCAACAGTAGTTTGGAGTTTGCTAGCCCACGATATTGCACCGCTGTTTTCAAACAGGAAAAAGCAATATCCACTAGTACTGCGTCTAGTGTCACTGTCACCTCCCCAATCAGAATCAGAATAGCCATACAAGATTGGCGTAGCAGTACATCGTCTGTAGATAAGTTTATACGATCTAGTTCCTTTCAAATATCGTAGAACTCGTTTTGCAGCAATCCAGTGTACTTCAGTAGGGTCGTTCACATATCTACTCAAGCAATGAGCGATGAATGAAATATCAGGCCTTGTAGTAATTGACAAGTAACTTAGACTGCCGATAAGTCCTCTATAATCTTTGTCGTTTGCTAATTTCACCTCATTTGGTAGCCGTTTACAAAGTTTTAAACCATCAGCTGCAGGTGTAGACACTGGTTTACACTCAATCAAACCAAATTTTGACAGTAGCTTGTCAATATACGCTTCCTGAGAAATTTCTAACCCATCCCCACAAAAGTTGAATTTCATCCCCAAAAACCAATAAAGTTTTGCTGTTTCGCTGATTTTGAATTGACTAGATATTTGTTGTTCAAATGATATAAACTTGTTAGCATCATTGCAAGCGTAAATTATATCATCCACCCAAATGCATACGTATTCCAAAACATCTTTTGAAATTCTCATGAAAAGACAGGGATCACTTTTTGACGCTGTAAAATCTATTGACTTAAGGAACATCTGTAAGGTATAGTACCAATTTCTTCCTGACTGCTTTAATCCATAAATAGATTTATTTAGCTTACAAACAAGTTGATTACCCCCACTGTCTTTCTGCTCAAAACCTTCAGGTTGTTGCAGGAAGACATTCTCTTCCAAATTAGCGTTTAGATAGGCTGTTTTTACGTCCCATTGTCTTACATCAAAACCCTTAGCTGTTGAAATTGCTAAAATAAGTCGTAATGTTGCCATTTTTACTGTAGGACAAAAGGTTTCCTTGAAATCAACGCCTTTGATTTGATTGTAGCCTTTAGCCACATATCTTGCCTTGTATCTTGAAATTCCCCCCTCATTATTGTATTTCAAAGTAAAATGCCACCTTCCCCCCAAAATAGTTTGATCCGTTTGTGGAACTAATTCCCAGACATTATTGTTGATCAGAGAATTATATTCATCCTGCATTGCTTTTTTCCAATTGGGGTTAGAAAGTGCATCGTTAGCATTTTTTGGCAAATTATCAACATAAAAAGTTGCATCAGCTAGCCAACACTCATCAAAAATTGTCTCATTTCTAAAAAATGAAATCTCAGGCGCATTTAATTGTTTGATCCGTCTGCTGCGGCGTAATTGATCATTTTCAAGGTTTCCGCCATTGACATTATCCGCAGAATTTTTCTCAGAAATCTCAGAATAGTTTTCAACGCTTATTTCCAATTCCCGTCCAGAATCATTTTCATCGTCATTTTTGAAAGGAAAAACTTTTTCATCAAAAGTAACATTTCTACTCTCCAAAAATTCAAAGTTTCCATCAAGCTCAGTTCCTACTATATAACATTTACTGTTCAGACTATATCCAAGCAGAAATCCTTTCACGGCCCTTGAATCAAGTTTTTTCATGTTTACTTTTTCGACAAACATATATGCAGCACAACCAAAAATTTTTACGTGTTTCAAATCAGGTTTGCTTTGGAAAAATTTTTCGTATGGGGTTACCCCAATTGCAGAATGATAAACTCGGTTTTTCAAGTAGAAAGCTGTTTTCAATGCAAAAGACCAAAATTTCTTTTCCATGCTGGCAGTTTGTAAAAGACATCTAGTTATTGCCATTACACTACCCCAAGTTCGCTCTATTTTACCATTTTCCTCTGGTGTATAAGGCGCAGAAAATTCAGTTCTTATGGCATTATCAAGACAAAACTGTTTAAACTTTCCAAATTTGAACTCTTTTGGATTATCACTAGCTATTGTTTTTGGTTTACCATAATCCGCTATGAACTGTTTGAGCATCTGAGTGCTATCACTTTTATTTTTCAATAAGTAAACCGCAGAAAATCTTGTGTAGGAATCAATAAAACCTATTGCGTACTTAAAATTGTCTACAGATATCGTATCAATTGGTCCCAAAATATCCGTATGAACAATTTCTAGTTTTTCTGTAGCTCTAGTCCCCCAAACTTTTGGTATCGCTTTCCGCTTAGCTTTTTCAGTTTGACAATCAACACAGTTATTATGTTTCTTTTGGCTAAATTTAACTCCCTCCGTTAGATTTTCTAATTTCTTGATGTCATCAAAATTATTATGACCAAGCCGTTTATGCCAAATTTCTATGTCCGAAACAACCATTGCAACATTTTCCACAGAGTGTTCATTTGCCAGTTCAATTTTCATTTTGAAAAGATCTCGTTGATTTTGAAGCAAAATTTCAGAACTATCTGGTAAAATTATTCTGGGACAAACATCATCAAACATTACATCAGCTTTATTTCTGTTAAGTTTAGATACAGAAACTAAATTTGCCGTATACGTAGGTACAAACAGAGTATCTTTCAGTTCTATAGTTATCAATCGACCATCACTTGTTTGAACTTTAAACGTTACTTTTCCCTTTCCCACAATTTTTGAATTACTTCCATTTGCACAGCCAACATTTCCATTAATATTCGTATCAAGTTCCGTAAAAAATTCGCGTGTTTTAAACATATGCGCAGAGCAACCGCTATCAATCAAGCAAAATTTGTCGGAATTTACGCCAAAATCATTGTCATTAGAATGAAAACTGAAAAAGTCGACAGTGTTTTCATTTTCTGAAGTAAAATGGCTTTTGTTTTGTTGATTTTTTGATGTAAACTGTTTTTGATGGCTGCTATTTGAATGGTTATTTTGGGTATTTTTCCTACAATCTCTAGCAAAATGTCCCATTTGATTGCAATTGTAGCATTTTATGTCTTTCTTGCAATCCTGTTTTCTATGACCTTGCTTTCCGCAACTGTAGCATTTAATAGTTTTATTACTAAAAAACGTTTCATTTGTTGAATTTTTCTGCAAAAAAGTCTTGCTTGTTTCGGCAAAATTTGACAAATCTCTTTTAATCTCGTCCAAGCTTTTTGCATCTTTCGAAAAATTCACCACAGTTGTAAAATTATCAAATTCTTTTGGTAGTCCTTTTAAAAGCATTGCAATCATCATTTTTTCAGAAATACCCTCTCCCGCTTCTTGTAGATTCATTTGCAAATTTTCCGATCTAAGTATGTAGTCCTTAATCGATTCGCTCGCCTCTAATTTCAAATTAGAAATTTCATTTAACATTCTTTGAACACGTGGTCGTTCCGTACTTTTAAAGTAGCTTTGCAGCCGATTCCATGCCGCTGAACCATCTGGTTTATCGCGTTTTATTAGCATTACAGACTTTCGATCAAGGCATTGTATTAATTCACACCACAATTGTTCTTTTCTATCATTAACATTAGTTTCATTTTCACTACTTCCTGGAACATCTGTTCCCTTCAACGTTTTCTTTAAATTCAAAAGAACTATACGAGCTTCAAATTGCTCAGCAAAATACTCCCAATCATTTTCATTTCCCGAAAAAGTCAATTTTTCCAATCTTGTTTGAATACTTCGTGCCATGGTTAAATGTCACTTCAAATTTCGAATTGTAAAACTTCTCTTTCAAAACTTCTCTTTTCTTTCAAAACTTCTATTTTCAAAGTTGTAATTCATACAACCAATTCTTTTCTTTCTCTTGAAATCCTATGCATACAAACCACCGTATAATTTTACTCTCTGATGCTGTCAGGCGTAGAGTCTCAATTCTTCACGAAATCGCCCATAACCTCTTAGGGTCCATAAATTGAAATAGCAGCGAAAGATTTAATTGAATGAATTAGTTTCCCATTTTTAGTATCAAGAGATTAAAGATCATGACTTCAGAGATTATTCACATCGGTATGAACGAATTATTACTTCAGATGAAAGTCAATTGGTTTTAATTAGACAGTGTGCTAAATATATATAATGCACAGTTGAAAAAACCACTGGTTACACCTTAAAATAGATATTCATGTGAGGTGGGGGGCTGAAGGAAAAAGAGCCACACTGGCCACCAAAAAAGCAGAGAACAGATGCTATGCAATTCCAATGCTACAGACTGTGATTATAGCAAACACAAACGCCGGCTCTTTTCTCCCCCACCTGCGAACTTTTTCAAATCCTTTTTATTCACATTGTCCGATTGACTAATTTTAGGGCCATGACAATCTTATTTGGTCTTCACACTTGACCTTGTAAAACCCCTCGTTACACAAAAAAATTTAGGTTTATGTGAGATGGAGGGTTGTGAGTTTGGTTGAAAAAAAAACTGATTATTATAGCCTTATTGACCAATTCAATCCTTTCACTAACTAAAAACAACAGAAAATTTGGGAAAATAAGCGTGGCAGAATATTCTGTGCTACAGCAACGAGGAATTCAAGTATTAATTTTTCTGACATTAGACGTTTTTGTCGGATTTTTGTAAGTTGACTTTTCAAACACAACGAATTAAAATGATAGCATGAAATCAGAAGTTTAGTGTCAATGTGAATACGAACAAACCTCGGTTCATCGCCATGCCTACACAAGTTTTCAAAGATTTTCAACAAAGAAAATGTATCTTGGTTTCAGCCGCTAACATTCAGCGGCACGACGTCATTGACTTTATCCTACGCTTCTTTTTCCCAAAAAAGCTATCTGAAACCGTGTTAATATTATCAGTAACCTGATATGGTCGTCGAACTTGAGTTGAGCTGAGAAAAGAGGTGTGGAGGTCATAGTGTCTGTGGCCTGTGGACTCCCACTCATTGGCACCATCCCCGCAGGCACTACTGGTCTGTTCATACTCAGTTGCAGAGAATGCGTGTCATCGGCACAGCCAGTCACTTCGCTATTCTGAACAAATTTGAAAATTGATCCATTTACAGGCTCAAAACAACGTTCGATAAATTAATTGAACTCGCTGTTGCTTTTTCTTTAAATAAAGGGGCACAGAAGTCACAAGCTGCTTCACTTTTGATTTCAAGATTCAAACGCCAAGCGAATCGAGCGTTAAAGGTGTCATACTTGACCTGTTTTTTAAAAGAACTGATGAGTCTCTGGTTATTAACTCATTGCTATCAAGTCAAGCTATCAACTAAAACTCATGTAATTTCTTGAGTATAAGTATAATGTTTCAGCTCGGGTAACCCGAAGGAATAATTCAGCTTTTATTGATTTACCTGTAGCGGTCCGGTGAACTTAACAATTCCCCATCCGAGAGTGGAATAGTCAGGCTCCACGAACATCAGTTGGAATTTTCCCAGAACCAGAAAACGCTCTTCTGTCCTGAAATCCAATTTGGTCAGAAAAATCATCAACTACAATATTAAATGTTTAACTTTTATAGAAAATTTTATGAAAAATTTGACTTGCTTACCCGGATTTGGTGATGACTTTGCAACCAAGAAGATCGCTATTGCCTGAAAAAAAAACAAATTTTTAGGTTCAATCGGCCATAAGTTAACATACTAGAATGAAAGCCAGATCATTACGTAGAAAAAAGAAGGCATATGAAATTGAGGCAAAAATAGGAAACTAGGCAAATACATTATGTTGAGGCTATTTCGGGTCTATAATTGCCAGTTTTCTCCATCTGCAGTTAGTTTTGCAGCGAAATTCTAAAATGAGCAAAAAAAAAAACAGATTAGTTGTTCACGAAATGTGAAACTTTTCAGCAAGAGAATTAAATTGTTTCGTGTGATAACTTTTGTTTGCTACAATACCACACCATTTAGAAAACTTACTGAAGAAGCGAACAAAAAAGCCAGAAAAAACTGAGGATAAAATATCGTTTGCACTCGCAAATGAACTAGCACAATTCAGCTAAAAAAAATTTAAAAAAAACAATGATAGCTGGATGCTGCGCATGAAGCACAGAACGTTATGACTACATGGACAAGTAAAACAAGTTTTATAAAAAAAAAACATTAAAAAAATTTTCTACGTTTATGATTAAATTCTGTTAAAAAAAATCCAATAAAACAATATATGGCCTTAAAGCTCTAGCCCACTTTGAAACAATTCACCCACTTTGAAAACACTGGAACAATAGGTTATTGTTACGCTAGAAAAATTAATTCGACTTTCGAAACACCCTTTCACGTTTTTGGCACCATTTGCACAATTGCTATTGGGGAGCTGAATTTGCCTTCTTTTTAGCAAAACAAATGAGTTGGAATTGAAGTTGAAAAGAAATCGAAAGTCAAACCTGAAAAATCAAATTTACGCGTGATCAATTTTTAAAACTTTCGTCAAAAATTGCAAAAAAAAAATCAAAAACCACACGACTAATAAGTGTCTGAACTCAGAGTCAGTAGCGTGCAGAATAAAAAACTCTGATTGACAAAAGTCTCCCAGGTCCCCACTTAAGTACAATTTTACGAGATTCATTTCTGGTTCATAAAATATGTTATTTTGAGGAAGCTCGGGTAAAAAACTTCATAAAAAGGCTCAAAACAGGTGGATTGGACTTTTGAAAAGCATTGCCTGTCAAAAAAAAACTCCAATGCATGCCACTGTTAACAAGTTAATCTGTCTCGATTTAAATTAATTTACTGTGCTTTATTTAAAATATTGTTAAATAATTTAGAACGATAAAAATAATTGCTGCTCAAATTTGATTCACCAATTTCTATTTCTGTGAAAAGTCACGAAAAAAATGATCATTCAGACTTATTGGGCAATTTAAACTCCTGTGAAAGGAAATTTTCTGAATACAAAGAGCAAAAAATGACTGAATATAACCAAGAGACAGCTGCAAACATTTCAGTTAACTCAAGAAGGCCAAAGAAAAACAAAAAAGTAGCTCCAGAACATTCTATGATTGACACTTTGGCTCTTTTCTAGTCCCCCCCACCTCTAAAATTCAACTTTGAAAAATTTATTTAACAATGTCATAATGCAATGAAATTTGGCGTGGTGAACAAATCGACAACTGTGAACAGATTTGTTCTTCATACTTTACTGCGTAACATCACGCATTTAGCCGTAATAACACGTAAAACAAACATAAAACTCGGTATTTTGAAAGGTGGGGGGAACTGGAAAAGAGCCGACACTTTTTAATGAACATATAGGTTTATTTCAGAAAAGATTTAAGAAAATAATTTTTTTAATCCACAAAAAAATTAAGTTCATCTTTGAAACTAAAAGTCAATCAGTTTTTTTTCGCGCCATTTGCGCTTCAGTTATTGGAAAGCACAAAAACGAAAGTCGAGCGGTAAGCGAAGCAGCACTTCGCAAAGACAGATCAAAAATAGCAAATAAGAGCTCTCAAAACGCGGGAACAGCAAACAGACCGCTGGAAAAATTCAATGAACTGAACGCAAGGAAAGAAAAAACACTGATTTTTAATTGAAGTTTAACTTACGAATTTCAAAGAAAAAAACATATGGCCTAAAGCTTTTCAATTTCAGTAACATAGCCATAGCCAACAGACAATTGGAAAAGAGTCATGAACTAAAGAAAACAGAACCACTTGTTCTTTTTTGAATTTCACAACTTGTACTTTGAGGCTCTTTGAATTTTTAAAACTTATTATGATTCACACTTTTTTGATAAAGTTAACAATTTGAGGAACGTAGATCAATTTATAAAACTTTCATTTCGCTGGGAAATCTGACACTTGCTTTACAAATCAAACCTAAAAACATCAAAAGAAGCCAAAAAAAGTGTTCAAAAACATTCAATGCATTTTTTATTGCATTTTATACACAGAGGCGAAACGGAGCTTCTCGCCATCTGCAATACCACACAGTTATGAAAACGCAAGTCGAAATAAAAATGAAAAACGTTTTAAAGAAGTAGTTGAGCATTTTCGTGTAACTCGATAAAAAACAATAAAAAATAACTATGGTTCCAGCTACATGGAGGTATGTCTGATAATTCTGTTTAAAAAAATCCAATAAAACAATATATGGCCTTAAAGCTCTAGCCCACTTTGAAACAATTCACCCACTTTGAAAACACTGGAACAATAGGTTATTGTTACGCTAGAAAAATTAATTCGACTTTCGAAACACCCTTTCACGTTTTTGGCACCATTTGCACAATTGCTATTGGGGAGCTGAATTTGCCTTCTTTTTAGCAAAACAAATGAGTTGGAATTGAAGTTGAAAAGAAATCGAAAGTCAAACCTGAAAAATCAAATTTACGCGTGATCAATTTTTAAAACTTTCGTCAAAAATTGCAAAAAAAAAATCAAAAACCACACGACTAATAAGTGTCTGAACTCAGAGTCAGTAGCGTGCCGAATAAAAAACTCTGATTGACAAAAGTCTCCCAGGTCCCCACTTAAGTACAATTTTACGAGATTCATTTCTGGTTCATAAAATATGTTATTTTGAGGAAGCTCGGGTAAAAAACTTCATAAAAAGGCTCAAAACAGGTGGATTGGACTTTTGAAAAGCATTGCCTGTCAAAAAAAAACTCCAATGCATGCCACTGTTAACAAGTTAATCTGTCTCGATTTAAATTAATTTACTGTGCTTTATTTAAAATATTGTTAAATAATTTAGAACGATAAAAATAATTGCTGCTCAAATTTGATTCACCAATTTCTATTTCTGTGAAAAGTCACGAAAAAAATGATCATTCAGACTTATTGGGCAATTTAAACTCCTGTGAAAGGAAATTTTCTGAATACAAAGAGCAAAAAATGACTGAATATAACCAAGAGACAGCTGCAAACATTTCAGTTAACTCAAGAAGGCCAAAGAAAAACAAAAAAGTAGCTCCAGAACATTCTATGATTGACACTTTGGCTCTTTTCTAGTCCCCCCACCTCTAAAATTCAACTTTGAAAAATTTATTTAACAATGTCATAATGCAATGAAATTTGGCGTGGTGAACAAATCGACAACTGTGAACAGATTTGTTCTTCATACTTTACTGCGTAACATCACGCATTTAGCCGTAATAACACGTAAAACAAACATAAAACTCGGTATTTTGAAAGGTGGGGGGAACTGGAAAAGAGCCGACACTTTTTAATGAACATATAGGTTTATTTCAGAAAAGATTTAAGAAAATAATTTTTTTAATCCACAAAAAAATTAAGTTCATCTTTGAAACTAAAAGTCAATCAGTTTTTTTTTCGCGCCATTTGCGCTTCAGTTATTGGAAAGCACAAAAACGAAAGTCGAGCGGTAAGCGAAGCAGCACTTCGCAAAGACAGATCAAAAATAGCAAATAAGAGCTCTCAAAACGCGGGAACAGCAAACAGACCGCTGGAAAAATTCAATGAACTGAACGCAAGGAAAGAAAAAAACACTGATTTTTAATTGAAGTTTAACTTTCGAATTTCAAAGAAAAAAACATATGGCCTAAAGCTTTTCAATTTCAGTAACATAGCCATAGCCAACAGACAATTGGAAAAGAGTCATGAACTAAAGAAAACAGAACCACTTGTTCTTTTTTGAATTTCACAACTTGTACTTTGAGGCTCTTTGAATTTTTAAAACTTATTATGATTCACACTTTTTTGATAAAGTTAACAATTTGAGGAACGTAGATCAATTTATAAAACTTTCATTTCGCTGGGAAATCTGACACTTGCTTTACAAATCAAACCTAAAAACATCAAAAGAAGCCAAAAAAAGTGTTCAAAAACATTCAATGCATTTTTTATTGCATTTTATACACAGAGGCGAAACGGAGCTTCTCGCCATCTGCAATACCACACAGTTATGAAAACGCAAGTCGAAATAAAAATGAAAAACGTTTTAAAGAAGTAGTTGAGCATTTTCGTGTAACTCGATAAAAAACAATAAAAAATAACTATGGTTCCAGCTACATGGAGGTATGTCTGATAATTTTCGAATTTGTTGAAGTGATGTGGGATAAAATGGGTAGCTTCAAAAAATCGACTTTGCTCAAAACCTTAGTTATTTCTCTAGTAAAAAAAGTCAGTGAAAATGTTTGAAACATTGGAATTTTCGCAAGGACATAATATTTGTCTTTCAAAACACATTGCTTCGGCAGTAAAATTCTCGCAAGCATTTTTCGATTGACTCTTCGTCTCAGATTTGATAAAGTAGTTTCCAAGAAAAGTAAAGTCAACAAGTTTATAAGAAACGGTCAGAAGTTCAAAAGCTCGACTTTCCGCAATCCATAAAAATTTCTGCAAAAAGAAGGTCGTGGTCACTTCATAAGATAAGATTCTCCAATACCGGGTTTCTCGATTGAACACTCGACCAAAGAAATGGCTTGATACTATACGAAAATAGTCTAAAAGTTTCCAAAAACAGGTCAACAAATCAAAAAATTGAATTTTCCGAGAATCAAACCTTCTTGTGTTCAAAAACAATGAGCATAGCCGCTCACGCAGAATTAATTCACACAAACTATTATTTCGAATGAAACCAACAACTCAGATTTCGAATATTCCGAGAACAATAACTCTTTGTTTAAATAAAATTGGAGGCAGTCGCTTGGGCAGAGGAGCTTCCCATAACGCTTTCTATCCATTGAAATCAAAACCTCAGATTTGTGAGGGTGGTTTCTCAGAAAATGAACAAATCAAAAATTTGGGTCAAATATTCCCCCGGACTTTTTCGAGGGCTGTAGACAGTGGGGTAAATTAAAAGAGAGTGGGGTAAAAAAGAATGAAAAATTAAAGACAGTGGAGTAAACCTTTCCTGAGAATAAACATAGCTCTTTTCTACTTCCCCTACCTGTCAAATTTTCCAACTTTATGGTTGTTATGCCTGTTATTATGGCTAAATGGTGATGCTGCAGAGTATGTAGAGTATGAAAAATAAATCTGTTCATAATTGTGAGTTTGTTCACTATTTCAAGTTTTCTTGCATTGTCACAACGTTATAGCAGTTTTCAAAATTGAGATTCAAAGGTGGGGGAGTGAAAAAGAGTCAAAACCTTGACGACCTAAGAATCTTCACTGTGTTCAGCTTGAAAAAAAAAGAAAATTAACCTAAATTTGGAACAACAAAAAAACTCGGTAACCGGACCCACTCCATCAACTAGCTACAGCTCTGGTGTCTACTGCCTTAGCAGTTGATCAATATGAGCATGCTTCTATTAAAACACCCACCACTTATAAATTGCTAAATACCAGCAACACAGACACTAAGTTTGGCACTTTTTAAGAATGTGGCGCTAATTTATGCAATCTTTAGAAAAAGCGAATTCGTAGTATTACTCAACGTCGAGTTTCATTTTTTTTGCTTCGGGTTAGTTACATTCAATTATACTAACTCAGATTAAGTCTATCTCCCTCCTGAACCAAATCAGACTCCTTGGCCAGTGGCAATAGACTGTCCACACTGTTTTGCAGTTCCAGAGAGAGGTTCCTCAGTTCGAAGAAGCAGCACATGGCCAGTTTGGTCAGCTCCATCTCCCCACAGGGAAGCCGCTTGTTAGCTGAGATACCCGAGAGGGGGGTGGACACCGGCGGGAGGATGATGGGTGCGTCTTGGATTAGACGCGACACTATTGTGCGCTTGTTCTGAAAAAAAAAGCAAATCCATACTTTGTACTGTGGATGCGGTGTGCCTGAAAAGGCATCTGATTTTAATTGATGATATCAAATTGTTAGCAATATCCTTCTCAAACTAATCTGAAGAACGTTTATGAAAATACAAAAGCTTACTTGGACACTGAGAACCAATTTTTGCGTATAAATGAACACCTATAAGCAATTTATTTCAATTTCAATTTTTTTCAATTTCAATTTTTCTTAATTTCAAAAGAAAAATTCTAAATTTCAATTTTTTTTAGGTCGACCAAATTGATTTTTTGAGCTCTCCTAAAGCATTACAAAGACCCTGTTTTGGCCGAAATTTCTGCACCGCAGGCAAAATTTTGAATTAACAGGTCAAAAAAGGCGTTTTAGGCACTTTTTGGAAAATTTAGACCAAAAAATTGCGTTTTTTCGGCACACGCTCCCCCCTCAAAATTAGTATAGATTGGCGCCGAAGACGCCTTTAGAAAAATTTTTAGGTCAGTCAGCCAAAATAGATATCTCAAAATAGTACAAAGGGGAACCCTTTGGGTCGGACAAGAAGCCCAGAACAGCTTTATTCATGATTTTCAATTGATGTTTATGCGTTTCAAAAGCAATTTGCCTTCCGTCGAATTAACTCAGTTTCACATCGAAATAAATGCTAAAATATTGTTGAAGTAGTTTGGTTTTAGTTTGGCTCACTTTTGATGTTTCGAACTCGCTTTCGAACAGGTCCAGGAACATCTCTTCGCTTTTGTAGAAGCGTCTCAAGTACAGACACGATTGCTCCTTCACACTCTGAAAAAAAAAGAAAAACCATGCCAATTCCATGCTGAACTTCCGCGCAAGTAGACTTTTTTCAACCAAAATACCCCACAGAAACTCCATGAAACAAATATAGCCAATCCAAGATTGGAAAAGAGTAATGAACGCAATGTACATAAAAAAACATTTCAACTTTCTCAACTTTCGAAGAAAGAAACAGATGTCCTTTAAGCTCTTTTATTTCTAGAAGGATTTATGACATGGCGCTTTTTTGATAACATTAACGCAACTTGAGAAAACTGGATCAACAGGCAAAGTTTTTATTCCGCTGGAAATCTAAAAATTAAATTGCACTTTCGAAACTAGAAATCGTTCAAGTTTTTTTCGCGTTATTTCCACGTTCGTATTTGGAGAGTGCTATTTACATCACTTTCAGCAGATGAATTTCAATTGAACTCGAAAAGTGCATATATACCTAAGTGCATTCATAAATGCATCAATATGTATAAATGCTCATCTGCAGTTACTAGAGACTTTTAAGACTTTTCCTGAGAAAAAAAAAACAAAAAAAAGAGTAGCAAGACATATATAAGAGTCTTTACTACGTTCATTACACTTAAAAAAACCCAGCCAGCACAGTTACAAAGCGTTAATGATTACACCATTCTCTCAACACTTCTTATCAAATTTCAATTTCCAAAGAACAAATTTCATCATCGTCAAGCTGTTTCAACTTTAAGAAAAATTGATGATTAACACTGTCTTTATTGGAGAAAATCATAGAACTAAAATAACTTTAGTTTTAGTCCGCTTGAGATTCTGTAATTAAATGAACTTCTAAACCTGAAATTTAGGCTTACTTTTTTGTGATATTCTAACTTTCGTTGCCCGATAGCGCGTAAATTACACTAATGAATAAAATTACACGCGAACTTAGATTTTAAGTCTCTAAAATGCCTTTTTAGAACAACCTTTTTCAGCAATTTGGAATCAAAATTTCACATTGACTGAGAGCACATATTCTCAGCTATCATGTATGACATCTGCCATTAGGTTTTCAGTGGAATTCTCGAAAGAGTTGTTCACGCGATGTGAAACTTTCCAGCCATAAAATTAAATTGTTTAGTGTGATAACTTTTCTGCTTGCAGCAATATCAAACCATTGAGAAAACTTACTGCAGAAATTTTAAACTTTCACTTTAGACCCGCAATAACCTAATAAATATTTTAAACCAGATATAGTTACTTTCAAAGATGTTAGCTTGCAAAAATTGCGCTCGGTCTTACGTTGATTCCTCGTTGTTTCAATGAAGAGTATATAGAATTACTTGGATTGGAACAATTTTTTTGTTTTGTTTTTACGCTCTGTTGCAGTTATAAATAAAAAATTTGTCTCTGTTGCATTTGATTTCTTTTTCTTTGTGTTGAATTTCAACTTCCGTTTTTTCTTTATAACTGTTCGGTGAATTTGAATTACTGGTACTCATTTAGAAGTATGGTCCCATTTAAAACCTCTTTTAGAAGTATGGTCACGTAAATCACCAATGGTCCCATTTAAAAGTCAGAAAAAATTTACAGGAAGTTTCGAAGTTTTGCCAGTGAATTGACTTTTTAATAATTCCTTTTCAAAGAAAAATTTACTGGCAAATCCAACAAAAAAAGTTTTCGTTTACACATGTTTCCAAGTTTTCCTTGTGTTTTCATCCACTTCAAACTCCAGGTATATTTCAAGAGGTCTGGCGAGACCACACTTTTAAGCAAAATTTTGAATGAGACTCTTCAGAAACGGATGGACCACACTTCTAAACGAGTACCGAATTCCTTATGGTTGCATTTGAACTTCTTTTTCTTGATTTGAATTACAAAAGGTATCTTTCCGCCTGTTTTATTGGATAAAGCATAATTTGCCCTCCATATGGAGAATGAATTGTAAAAATGAGCTACTTTAAGGGTCAAACGCGATGGGAAAAGTTCTAAAAATGTGACTTAAGCTCAAACCACGAAAGAAGATCTTTAAACAAATTTCAAAAGTTATGCACAAAACGACTGATTTCAGAAACTGAATAAGTAAATTTTACGTTGTTCATAACAGTATAAACCACTCACCTCCAAAGATGCGAGATGTTGGTCTGTGATGAAATAGTAGGGCGATAAGGATGCGTTCGCATTACAACTGGCGCTCCCACTGCTCATTTCTCTTCTGAAGTCAACTGCCGAATTGGCCTGGGTGTCTATTGACGCTTCATGTGTCCCCGTGTATTCTGTTGTTATGTCAATGGTGGATGGGTCTACGTCACAGATGACAATGTGTCTCATCAACATACACGTCATCTCAATAGTCACTGCTCTTATCCTCATTTCTAAATGCAACAAGAACACATCGAACCATTCATAGCTTGTGAAAATATCAACACTCAGTTTTCGAATTAAATACAGATCTTGAGTTTTAGAGGAGCTCAGTAAAAATTTAACAATCTCGTAGAAAAGCTGTTTTGACCGGATTGTGTTAAAATGGATCTCAAATTGAGTTTTTGACCAACCAAAAAAGTAGTTTACATGCAGCGATAAGCAGTTTTAGTCCAAATTGAATAGTTTGGCGAATGATCAGGTCTTTTCTTAGTCGTTTCGAGGACCGGTGAAAAGGGGCGTGGATTACCTTGCCTTAGAAATCAAAACAGCATTTCAAATCGGAGGTGAAGTCCAGCGTGGGAGCACATACGATCGAAGCAAACGATAACGCTAACGGACAATTGCAAAAGTGTCAATGATCTCACGGAGACATTCGAGTTTCTCAAAGAATACATAGCCAGTGTAGAGAAAAACCAATTGATTTTTTTTCAATTTTGTACAATTTACAATTTAGAGCGAGAAAAGCAAGAACAAAATCTACAAACTAAGCTGGAAAAAACTAAGTTGTTAGCTACAAAAAACTAGTTTTTGAAGACTCATTTTTAAGCTTATCTGGCACTTGAAGTACTAAAATAAATAAGCTGACGGCGGAGACGAAACCACTTCTACACCGTTCCCCTCTAGTTCGACATTACACATCAACTGCTCACCCATATGAAACAAATGTAACAAAAATTGAAAGTTGCATTAACATACCAGCGGAAGCGGCAAGAGTGAGCACATCAAGGAGATATTCAAACAGATTGCAGTTGTACTGGTTCTTTAGCTGAAACAACAACAACACCCTCTCAACAGTTATTTCATGACGCTAAAAGTACAGCGCTGATTTAAATTATTTGAACAAAACGATGAAAACTTGAAAATTAAAACGTGTTGTTCTCAAATTGAGTTAACTTTAGACAAAAAATGATGAAGCCCAATCTTGTTTAATATTTTAACAGAATTACTATGGCGCAGTTTGTTTTGCAAAAACTGGGCCCAAAACTTTACCCCAAAAACGATCAATGTTGACTTTTTCTAGTCAATCAAAAAATACCTAAGCCAATTTGTTCAATTACTGACAAAAAGTTGCGATGCAAAAAAATTCAGATAAAAGGTTGAAAAACTTACTTGAAAAGTTGAAAAACACAGCAACAAACACTTCATGTTTGTAAAAAAAACTCATAACCAGCATAAAAAAGAATAGAAAATCAATTACCAAGTGTCAAAAAATTTTGGCCGAAACCTGTTTGAGCCGAAAACAAAACTGTCGTCATAAAAATTTTTATTGAGTTTTAAAAATTTTTACTACCCCTCCAATCTCAAACAGATAATCGCATGCAAATATATTTGCACGCAGAATTATGCAATAAAAATTGACTGCGCCGATGCAACATTAACTGAAATTGTTTGAATATTTAAAAAAAGGAACAAAAATGAAAAAAAAAAAACCCTATATCAGACTTAGCAAATTTACAAATTACTGAACTTTCAGTTGTAGTAAAAAACGGTTTAAATTGGAAAAAAAACACATGCTCTAGAAAGAAAGCCAAAAAAACCAATCCATTAAATAATTGCGTTTCAAATAAAAACGGAAAATGAACCGATTTAAAAAATGACTCCAATTTGAGAAAACTTGATCATTATGCTAATAATCGTAATTTTTTACGTCAAACGAACTTTGTTTACTGAAGAGCGTAGTGCTGATTTAAACGCATTTTAACGCACTTAAAATGCGTTTTCGTCAAAATGAGTTGATTCGAGAAGACATTATATGGTGACGAAAATTGCTTAAATCAGCAGTAATTTGTCTTCCATTTAGCAAATGACTTTCAAAGAAAATTTAAACCATGAAAGAAACCATTAAAAAATTCCTCAAAATTTTAAAGCCACGCAATTTAAAAACGTGCCTTAGTGGACAAAGTTAAGCGCAAATTCAGATTCAACTCTGTAAAATGCCTGTTTTCAATGTACATTTTGGACAACATCTTCTTTGTCAGCAAAATTTTTACATTGACCGAGAGCAAATGATCAGAGCTACCATCTATGAAAGAATCATTATTTGGTTTCATTGACTTGCTAATGTAATCCGGGTCTGAAAATGGCAGTTTTCCTCATCTGCACTTAGTTTTTCTTCGTAGTGAAATCTTTTTTTTTAATAAGCGGAATAAAAAAAATTGTTCGTACGACGTGAAACATTCTCCGCGAGAAAATGGAAACACTCAGTGTGAAAACTTTACCAAATTCGGACGCTTGTTTCTTATTCACGCGAAATAAAAAACTTAAGTCAGATGAGGAAAACTGGTATTTTCAGACCCGGATTATATGAGCAAGTCATTGAAACCAAATAATAATTCTTTCATAGATAGTAGCTCTGATCATTTGCTCTCGGTCAATGTAAAAATTTTACTGATTTTCGAAGGAAATGTTGTCCAAAATGTACATTGAAAACAGGCATTTTACAGAACAAAATCCTGAACTTTCGCTTATTTTTGTTCTCTAGTGTATCATTACTTTGTTCATTAGCACCTAAATAACTGAGTACCAAAAAAAAATACAAGGAAAAGAAATCAAGCTCCCAACTCAAAACTGGCTTCAAAAACTAAATAAGTTTTGACTCACTTTAACCCTCTGTGTTGGCAAATAGATTTTCTCTAGAACATTCTGGTCGCAAGTAGGGTTATTAAACATGGCCAGTAGTAGGATGACAGACAAGAGACAGTTCTGATCATTAACTTCTTCATTTGAAGAACTACTTTTGGACCCAGATTTGCTTTTGTGTCCAGAGGCGTCAATAGATGGCAGTATACATTTGGTCATTTTGCAGTTTAGACTGTAGAATACTTCGGACAGAAAGGGTCTGAAAAAAATTGAAAAACAAATTGAACGCTGTCTGATATGGTTTGCCGAATAAGCCGAGTAAAATTTTGATCATGCGATGTTAAATATTTTGAACAAGAAATGACATTTATTTCAGTGTGAAAACTTTCCTTTACGCGGCTGTGTTTCATTTTTTTGAATAGTCTCGAATAAAATTTTTATCATGCGATTGTGAAATATTTTGAACAATAAAATTGAACTTTTCAGTGAGAAAACTTTCCTTAATTCGGCTGTGATTGAAGTTTTGTTCACGCCGTTGACTTTTCATGCCTTAACTCGGCTATGTTTTATGTTTTTTTTTCACGCATTTTCAAGAAAGTAACAGATCATCTGCTCGAGGTCACTGTCAGTTTGTCTGAAATGGTCCTTGACAATAGGTAATCTAGAGCGTAGACGCTTAAACTTGGCTTTAATTTTGTCCACTCGTGTATATCAGCAAAAAAATGCTATTAGAAAAATTGCCTTCAATTAGTTGAAAAAATTAGAATGAAAACTGAAAAAGAAATCAACCTCCAAAGTATAAAATTTGCTCTACTCCAAAAATTTAGTGAAAATTAAATTGGTTTATTAGCACTGCAACGAATCTCTAAAAATGCGTTCGTTCTTTTACCTGTCGGCTAAGGATATGTATTTGGGTCCTGGGAAAGTGTCGCTTTCATCTCCGCTATTCTGAATGACATTCACAACTGCAGCTGTGATTGGGTCCTTCAGAACAGGCGACGGAGGCAGCAAGGCAGGCGAGTGGGTCTGTGACATGGCTCCAAGAGACAAATTATCCCTGTGGTAGTCGTCTCCACCTACCACCTTACTGTCCATGTTATCCTCACCTTCAAACATTAAACATAGCCAACAGACAGTTACAAAAAAAGTGTCAATAAAGGCAATTAAACAAAAAATACTGACTTGTTTTTTGAAAATCTTTCAAATTTCAAAACAATAGACGCCTTTAAAGCTCTTTGAAATTCTAGAACAATTTATGCTTGGAACTTTTTGATAAAACTAACCCAATTTGAGAAGACTGGACCAATAAAATAATATTTCATTTCGCCAGGAACTCTGATAATTCACTTCCATTTTCGAAGTTAGAAGTCGGTCAGGTTTTTCGTGACCTTTACACTTTGCTGTTCGATAGTCAACAGACATTTCAACAAAGTATATGAACTTAACTTAAAACGAAATCAAACGTCACACCACGAAAAAGTAAATTTGAGCCTGAACAAAATTTAAGACTTCTCCTGAGAAAAAAAAACAAAACTAAATTATAGCGACCTATAAAAAAGTCCGGACTACGTTCATCGAATCATAAAAAGATAAGAATAACAGAGACTTTACATGAGCTCAGCAGCGTGGCGACAGGGTGTGGTGGGATCGAGAGGGTCGCCCCCATTCTGGACACATTTTTCAAAAGTATCCCCTTTGGTACTATTTTTCGAACCTATTTTTGGTTGACCAACCTGAAAATGTTTCTAAAGGCGCCTTGAGCACCAGTTTGCTCTAGATTCCTTCCCCCCCACCACCAGCGAATTGTCACTAGTAATCTCTGTTCTGATTGCTCGATTGTTACAAAAATTGGCATGCGGACTGATTAGGCTATGACAAACATATTTGGTCTTTACATTTTTACAATTTTACCCCAGAAAAATGATGCTTATTTGAGGTGGGGGGAAAAGGAAAAAGAGCATATTGTTGCCACTAACTTGATAAAATGAGCCCCATTCGACAACATTGGATCAATATATTAAATTTTTATTTCGCTGGGAAATTTAAAAATTGAATTCCTTTTTCAAAACTAGTAGTCGATCACGTCTTTCGTGACCGTTACAATTATAGTGTTCGATAGTAGAGTTTGCTTCTTTTTGACAAAAAAAATGAAGCTAACTTAAGAAAACTTAAAAGTCAAGCAGCGAAACAGAAAATCGAGACTGAACAAATTTTATGAACTTAACTTTTAAAAAAATAACATCAACGCGACTTATCTAAGAGTCTGCACTAGGTTCATCGACTCTTACTAATTTTATGATCAAACAAAAAATCTAACGCACTTTTCTTTTCTCCGTTTTGTTTCGAGCTCAATTTTCACCAGTATTCAAGATTTTATTTAGACACTTTCAAGTTTCCGTCATTAACTCTTTTGATGTCAAATTATACTTAAATGGTAATCCGCGTCTAAAAAAGCCAGCTTTCCTCATCTGCACTAAGTTATGCATCGTAGTGAATGCTTTCTTGACTAAGTGGACTAAAAAAGTTTTTCACGCAACGTGAGACATTCTCAGCGAGCAAATTGAAATAAAAAGTGTTAAAACTTTACTATACTCGGCTGTTTCTTATTTTTCCACGCGAAGTGCAAAACTTAGTGCAGATGTGGAAAACTGGCATTTTCAGACCAGGATTACATTTTTAAGTCATTGAAACCAAATATTGAGTTTCGTTGAGAGTAGTTCTGATCATTTGCTCTTGGTCTATGTAAAAACTTCACCAATTTTCAAAGAAAATGTTGTCCAAATTGAAAACAGGCATTTCAGAGAGTAAAACTTTAAGTTTCAGCTTCATTGTCCATTAGTGTTTTAGGGACGATAGTCTGAAAAAGCAGAAAGTTTCCATTTTGCAAAAAAAAGGCCCGACAGTATTCGAACCACAAGACATGTCAGCTCAAGCAGGGGTGTTACTTCTACGCCAGATGTATCATTAAGTTTGATTTTATTATAAGGCAACTTGAACGCAGAGGCGAAGTTGCACTTCGCATACACAAGCAAAAATATGACCGATAACGCAACTGGGAAAAACTGAATAAGTAAAACTTTGAGTCTATAAAATTTCTTAGGTGACGCACGCCAATTATGATTCTACATAATTGCTAAGTGACGCAAGCCAATTATGACGCTTTAGCAGTACCAGTCAATTTGAAAAAAAAAGAAATTTGCCAGCTAACATGCCTCAATTTATAGAGCGGACGCATTTCAATTAGTATACGAAAGAGGTCATTAAAAACATCCGAGCCCCCAAGTTCAAACCCTCTTATTTTGTTGCGGGTCTCCTACCCTACCTCTACAATACCTCTAAATTTTAATTTATTATAAGGCAAGTTGAACACAGAGGCGAAGTTGCACTTCGCATACACAAGCAAAAATATGACCGATAACGCAACTGGGAAAAACTGAATAAGTAAAACTTTGAGTCTATAAAATTTCTTAAGTGACGCACGCCAATTATGATTCTACATAATTGCTAAGTGACGCAAGCCAATTATGACGCCTTAGCAGTACCAGTCAATTTGAAGAAAAAAAGAAATTCGCTAACAAACATGCCTCAATTTATAGAGCGGACGCGTTTTAATTAGTATACGAAAAATTTCATTTAAAACATCCGACCCTGCCCAGGTTCGAACCCTCTTAATTTGTAGCGGGTCTCCTTCCCTACCTCTATGATACCTTATGCTAAAGTGCTCATAGAAATATAATAGTCTGTGTTAATATCCTTAGCATTGGCTATACTTAGTAGCTGGTTATTGATCAAAACGAACACATTTTGTCGCAACAATATTTGCGTCGCAACAATATTTGCGACTAAGGTCGGAAAAAAGAGTGTTCAAACAATAATACAAGCTTTGCTTGTATAAATACTTGTAATAATTTCACGTGAAAAATCTTGTGAAGAAAGTTCTTTACCCAAAAAAAGTCTAGTACCCGGTTGCAACAAGCTTGCTGATCGTAAGGGTAAACATCATTAAAAAACATGAGCATAAAAAAACGTTTCATTAATCACTGAAAATAATAGAGTTGCGTAATTATGTGTAATAATGCCCATTATTATAACTCTGTAGTAATTGTGAGTAGTAATTGAGTAATAATGCAGTTGAGAATTGAAAAAAAAAACAACGTTATCTCAACCTATCCTCTTTATATTACATTAACTTACCTTCATTGGATAGAGATGAAATGTTGTGCGCTGAGCTTGCGTTTCTCGGCATACTTTTCTGATCTGTGTTACTTCCAAAGTCAAACTCAGACTCCGTTTCGCTCACATTTGTACTTGACGCCGTCAAACTTTCTCCGACAGTTGAGGGAACTTCTAAGAAATTTGACTTGACTCTCTCATCGCTTTTCACAATTTGGTCAAAATTGCACAACTTGGTAGCATCTCTCAGGCGCCCTGAACTCCGGCGGTTGAAAAACTCGGATATTGTTTCGGGCGGAATTATGAGCTTTGAAGACCAGTTTGTTAAATCGTTTTCGCTCAGAATTTTGACAAGATCATCTTGTGAACTGCAAACTATGCGTGTCAGAACGTTGACAAGAGGTTCAAAATGAATGATGTGGAATACCTGAAAACTTGCAAAATAAAGCATCTAGTGTAAAAAAGGGCTTTTGCCATCTGTAACTATTGTTCCGATTACAATCTAGGAATGGAATTTTATTTCGATGATTGTTTGCACGCGATACAAAAAAAGAGAACCACCAAGTCGAAAAAAACATTGATAAACCACTCGAAAATGTAGAAAAAACTAGATCTATCAAAATGAATAAGGCTAGTTTTGGAACAAAAAGTGCCAAGATGATAGAACGTACAATAAAAATCAAAATAAAATTTACCAAGCTGCAATACAGCCAAAAATAACTTAGCAGAAACCCTTTAAACCGAAAAAAAAGTTCAACATGACTTATAGAAAGTCCCCCTCGCCCTCAAAACACACACACACAAACAAAACTTTTTTTTGCACGTCAATGAGATTACTGAGCCGATATAATATAGGTAGAAACATTACACCGAAGAAAAAAAATCAAAAAATTTAAGACTAAAAAAAAGTTATTTAATCCCCCTCGCCCTCAAAACACATTAACGCATAAAAACTCGCTCGTCGAACGATATAACGCAATACGAGGCCACTAAATTGATATAATAAAGGTTGAAATCTATCAAGCCGAAAAAAAATGAAATTTTAGAAAATCGACAGATATTTAAAATGCTGACATGCACTTTACCGGTGCATGTTAACATTTTGATAGCTGTAAATTTATTGCTACAAGAGATTTCCACGAAATGAGTCCAGATGAAAAGAGTCCTGTGAACAACGTTATTTACGGGACGCAAAGTTTTGTACCCGATTGCTGCTTATCGCAAGGGTAATGAAAAAAAATTGAAAAAAAAAACGAACATTTTTAATATTTTAACTTAAATTGAGTTTTTTTAAGCTGAGAGAGACTGAATTATGTTAACATAGCCAACAGTAGATTGAAAAAATTTAGAAAAAAAAACAAAAAAATTATTGAAAATGTTTGAACACTTTTCAACTTTCGAGTTTGGTAGAAACTAAACTAGATTTAAACTCATTAAATTTAAGAACTCTTCATGATTGGCACTTTTTCCTTTAAATTAAACCAATGTAAAAAAAATCTGAATCAGTGGGTAAGTTTTCTTTAATCCGCTGCGAAATCTAGAAACTTTCGAAACTAAAAACCGATCACGTTTTGTGCGCGCCATTTTGGCTTCGTACCTAGCCTTTTAGCGAAAGAACTTGAATAGACTTCAACAATTGCATGTGAACCTGATTGCATTCAAAAACGCACTACAAAGAGTCGAAGCTGCGCTTCGCAAACTCTAGAGAGAACACGACAAAAGCAGTTATAAAAGATGCAAAAAGAAAAAGTAGAAATAAGCCTCGAATAGTTAAAAAAAAATCTGCTACATAGAGATTATGAGTTTCACACACCAACCACTCAGTCACGGACGCTTAATAAATCACAAAAATGAAGCAGAAAATATGCTATGAATTAGCCAAAAATTAGCCAAAAAAGATGCTATGAATTTTCTTATACTACAGATCGTGATTATAGCAAAAGTGCCACCAAAACAGCACTTTTATTAGCGAGTTAGATTGGGAAAAAGAAGGTTCATACTAAACACTACACTTGCAAGTGTAAATATGCATGATAAACTTACGTAGTTATTGGAGCATTTTAAAAACTTTTTAAAAAAACCAAGACCTATAAAGTAAACATCACCCTCTTAAAATTTGCAAAATAATCAAACTGGGAGTTTATCTCTCTTTGTTGTCCTTTGTGAATGTTGTGTCATTTAGTTTTAAACACCGAAACTCTCACGCCTGTTTTTCTCGAAACGGAGGCAACTTACTTAAATTTTTCAGTCCAATCACGGGTGAAAAGGCTTTAATATGATACCACATTTGACCCGCAATGAACTTGATGTGTTTCCCAAAGGAAAACACATCACAGCCAACAGACAAAAAAAGGACATTGAATAAGGAAACCCAAAAAAATGATTGATTTACTTTTGCACGTTTTTCGACTTATTTTTCGGAGAAAATATCATGTTGAACTTTCCAATTACATTAATTATTAGTCCGCTGGGAAATCTGAAAAACAAAATGTACTTCGAATTAAGAAGACATTCACATTTCTTTGCGCCAATTTTCCTTGTATAATTTGTGAACGTATTTTGCCTTTCTTTTAGCAAATACATCTGAACAGAGTTTTAAAAAAATCAAACTCGACTGTGAGACGCAATCCTGGAAAAAATTATCAACACAATCTATATAACTGCCTTCACTATGTTCAATTGAAATTACTAAAAAAATTTCCCCATAATTTCCGGAAAATACATTGGAATTGGACACGAATATGAAGCTAAATTTCACGAACACACGAAAACGGCTAAATTTAGCTCTAAAAAAGCAAAAACGTGAAAAAAAGAAAGCATAATCGGCTATAGCCCAGAATCGCTGGTGCAAATATGCCCTAATGAATTAATTAAATCCGTTTATCTACGAATGAAATGAACAATTAAATGATCATTTCAGCTCTTCATGGAGAACCACCGTTAAGCTCCAGATTACAGCAATTGTACAATACACATCCTGAAAATGAAGAGAAAAATAATGCACGCGACCTATATAATTGTCTTCACTAGGTTCATTGGCACTTAGAAGCTATGCCATTGATCGGAACAATAACATCCTTCAAGAGCGAAGACTGGTAGTAGGACTTACATGTGACGTTAGAAACAAAGCGACTGGCAACGAAATCGGTCTTGCATTTTCAACATCGATCACAACCTTCCCATATGGCTGCGAAGTTGAACTCCCTTCACCTGAAACCATTTTTTGCAAGTTCAGAGTGAGTTACTTTTTATATATTTTATAATTTTAGGTGATGCTAATCTGTTCGGTGATGCAATTTCACTGCTGTTAGGTGATGCCAGTTTGTTTTGTTATCTTAGTTTTCATCTTAATCTTTTGTCTTAATTTAACTCTATTTTATACTCTTATCGTCTAATTTCGTCTAACTGACAGCAGTTGAGAGTCAACTTCAGATTTCGTCCGCGATTGCTGAAGTTCGCCTAAGTTATTTTTTGGTTGCTGCAAATTACATGCAACTTTATATATCAAATACTTTTCAATTTTTCAATGACATTAAGGTTTTTTTTTGCTATCAATGAGGTTCACGCAACAATAGTTCGAGAAACTTGCCATTAAATTTAAGAGGGACGAAATATGTGAAGACTATTTCTAAATGCCTTTGTAATCTAAAAAATGCTGGCTGCCGTACCTGTATTCGTACTCTGATTATAAGAATTAGTTGCATCAGAGGGAGGTTGCTGTTGGGCTATTGGCACTAGGTAGAGTGGCAGAAGGAGTCCAGTTAGGAGGTACTTTGTGAGGATCTGGGACAGTCGAGGCACTTCCAGTCGGAAGATGTCCTGGATGTAAGAGAGATAGTCCAAGTGTTCGTGGCACAGGTCTCGCAGTTTGTCCATGGACGAATTACTGCAGCAAAAAAAAAACATTTAACTCTGAATTTTAGCTTTTCCAACGGCAAACATTGGTTATCATTATGCATAAGCTTTGCATAATGTCAGCGCTGTTTCATTTGATTCATCACATTTTCGGTAAAAAATATTTTAAAATAATTATCACATTTTAATTTTATTTCTTCTCATTTGACTTTGACCTTGGTTTTTGTAAACATAACATCAGTCAAAATTCAGACGCAAAAATTAGGACAAGCAAAAAATTGGCAAACTGGGGCTTTAAAGTTGCGAGGAAATGCAAAAATAAATGAATAAGCTTTGAAAATAACAATAACTCACAACCTTAAATCGCTTGCGTTTGCAATTATCCGCAGTAATTATCCTTAGTTTATTCTTGATTAGTTCATGCTCTATGATCCGTTTGTGGCTGACACTTTGATGTGGAAAAATGCATCGACCCCTGTGATTATTACGAAAGCAACCAAATTTTGAAAGCGACCAAATATAATAAAAGCTCCTAGTAGCAACCAAATTTCTAATCTACTTTTTAAGGGCCGATGTTGTTATCTATGGCCATTGCGTCTTAATGCATCAGATTCGAACAGTGAACCACTTATTACTTTCAACTTTGAAATCTAGTGGCTTAAAATACTTTCCGGGGTCATTCTTCGGATCGGAACAGTTACCTTATGTTTCCATGTGTCAATTCATTTATCTCCAAAACCAACTTCCCCAAATCGTGCGTCAAATTGGCAAAGTAAATATTGGCCACTCGGTCGCAAATATAGCTCATCGCAGCGGCGTCTTTCACTCTGAAGCAACTGAGCGTGATTGTGCGCACTGCTGTTCTCACCATACTCTCCGAGTGATTGAAGAACTTCAGCGCTTCAGTTAAGAGAGGAAAGTCTTTGATTTGGTCATTGTAGAATAGATGCACTGAAATAGATACACTTTTAAACATGATTAGATTGATTTTTGAAAAGTTCGAAAAAAATTCAGAGGAGAGACTGACTGTACTGAATTCTGAATACACTAATAAACAAAAATAAACCCAAAGTGGGCTTTCACTGTCTAAAATGTCTTCTTTATGAACATTTTGGCCAAAGTCTTCCAGGAATTTCAAAAAAAACTTAATAGGGACGAGAGAAAATATATAATCAGCTACCCTCTATGAAAGTATCAATATTTCATTTCAAGGACTAACCTGTTTGTTCCAGGCCTAACAACACTGGACAAAATAAAGCGCAAATTTAGGTTTTTACAGTGTTTTTGTATTTAATGCATAATTTAAGGACCATTAGGGACGATGTTTACTTCGAAATTTAACAAAAATTTTTCATCGACCGACAGCAAATTATCAAAACTACCCTCTGTGAACGTCTCAATTTTTAATTTGAAGCACTAACCAGTTCTTTCCGGGTCTGAACATTCCAGTTTTTATCATCCGCACTAAAGTTTTCAAAACGGGTGAAATTGTAAGAAACAGCTGAGTTTAGTAAAGTTGCCACACTGATTATTTCTTAATTTTCGCTGAGAATGTTTCACGTCGCATGAATAAGTTTTAAACTCCCTTTATTCGAGAATAAATTCACGACCTAGCAAAACCTAGCGCAGACTGGCATTTTGCGCAGACCCTGAAAAAACTAATAAGTGCTTCAAATTAAAAAATGGTAGTTCAGATTATTTGCTGTCAGTCGCTTTTAAAAAATGGTCCTAAAAATTAACCTTTTTAATGGGTGAGAGCATGAAATTGCGTTTAATTTTGTCCACTAGCGCATCTGCACTAAGTTTCACATCCTAAAGAACTCTTTTTCCAACTAGCGAGAAAAAATGTGACACATTTTCAGTTAGAAATTTAAATGCGCACTGTGAAAACTTTTTCAAACCCATCTGCTTCTTACAGTTTCACACGGAGTGAAAAACTTTATAAAGTTGAGGAAAACTCACAATTTTAGACTTAGTCTTTTCAACAAAACTTTGATAAATTCATCGAGGGTAGCTCTGATCATTTGATCTCGGTCTATATAGAAATTTTGGACATTTACTTTTAATCCAATCAAAATCATCCTGGAAAACTGGCATTTTAGAAATTACACAGAGGTGAGAACACGACAAAAACCTAATAAATCACATACAAAACGGAGAACAGATACTATGAAATTTTCAATGCTACAGGTCGTGATGATAGTTAAAGTGCCACCAAATAAATGAACACTTTCCACTTTCAACAAAATCTTTTATTTGCGAGTTAAGTTAGAAAAAAAGAAGGTTCGTTTTAATACACTACGCTGATCGCTAGTGTAAACAATCTGAATTTGCGGTTCATATTTTCCACTGGTGTAATTTTACAAAAGCGTGAAGAGTTGATGTTTCACAACCAGTTTCTCGTGTCTTTTTTTCTTTGTCGCACTACGAAAAAGTTACCTGTTGACGTGTTCAACTTGAGCGAGAGTATTTTGAGAAATGAGATGTAGTAAGCCATCACTTCTTCATCAGAAAAATCAAACTTGTGCACCAGAATTGAATTCACTGTATTGTTCGACAGCAGGAAATCTAAACAGCACTTCATAATTTCAAGCTGCGTAAAAGCCTGAACACCTTTTTAAATCAGGCAATATTGTCCTGCGTAAAAGCTTGAACCACTTTTTGAATCCTGAGAAAGTATCCTTTCTAAACTACTTTTTGTTGAGAACTAAAAAAAATGGGCAACATTTTCGGAAAGACAGGTCCTTCGTGTCTGGGCTGGTCTGCCGTTAGTTCCGCTATGGTATATCAAGCTCTTGAACCAACTTTTTTCAAGGCGGTGCTTGTTCAGAAATTGGGATACTGAATCTAAAAGAGCCCATACTAGTTTGGTTGGTCTGTTTTACATCAATTATAATTTATTTCAGCGTCAGATTATTTTAATTTGATAAATTAACTTTCCTTTCGATGCGAGTATTTTTGTTTTTGTTTTTCTGTTACCGATGATAGATACAACAAGAAAGGACATAACTCTCCCGAAATTATATATTATCAATTTGTGTTTTGGAGAGGACATACAACGGGATTTTCGGATCCACTAAACGTCTACTAGGCGGTGAAAGAATTATGTTAGTACTTACAGACATCGCCAACAGAGTGACAAAAAATAGGTAAAATTGGAAGTGAAACAAAAAATGATAACGATGAATGTACTGCAACATGGCTAAAATGAATTGGAAGTTGGAAGAACTGCTCACAAAGAGAAGTTTCGTGTGAGATGTTCTCGAACAGGATGTTGAGTGTCTGCAGTAGTTGTACACATACACTCTCTCCGCTCTTCTGCTTCATAATCTTCTTGAAGAACGACAACATGTTCTTCTCCAGGAAAAAACTGAAACAGGACAGCGTCTGTTTTTTTGCTTTTTAAATTTATCATGTATTGATCAAAACTTTCAAAAAAGTTCCCAAAAATAATTTAGCCATGCATTTTTTTTTACATCTGCCACAAATCGCTCAAAGTCACCAACTATCCAGTACGCTGGATTACCTAATTGATGACTTTTTTCGCATCGAGTTTTCAATAAAATTTGTTCTTAATAATCCTAAAGACCATATTCCCTTGTTCCAAACAAGACCATATTCCCAGGTTCCAAACATTAAATTGACAAAATTCTTGAATTGACAAAAAAACCCTCTCTACAAAAGCTATCAAATGCGCAATCTCAAATCTTAAATTTTTCAGCCCACACGTCCTGGAACCTATTAAAAACTTATTCACTTCGAAGGACACAAGATGAGGTGACAAAGCCAAATAACAGAAACCGAAACACTTTGAACCAAAAAAAACAAAGGAACCTATTCAAAGTCTGAACTCAAAAATGTACAGTAACAGAAATATTTTCAGTTTCAATCAGAAGAAAACTCCGTTTATTGGAAAATATGCCGAAAAGAAAAAAAACAGTCAAACGATTGTCCGACTACTTAACATTTCCCCGAAAAAATTCGAAAGATTTCGTATCGAAAAAAACAAGGTCCGGCCGGGATTCGAACCACAACACCAAGGATCTCAAAAGCGCGCAACCTTTAGACCAGTAAGACAGGGTTTCGATGGTTTTGAAGTTCCATGATAAAATTGAATTCCTTACAGATTTTTAAAAAAAAAAACAGGCAGTTTACGAAAAAAATTTAGTTAATTCGTAGAAGTCACTTGATCTCGTAGTCATACAAATAAAAATAAGCTAAAAATATGACCTATAAGCGGAAATACGCAATTCTTGAAGTTTGATTTAGCACTTTTACAGCACGGAACCTTGTGTGTAACTTGAAACAAAAAAAAATATTTTTTTTTGAGTTTTACGTGAAAAGTTTCAACTTCCGATATTGTTATGAATTGCAACAATAACTGTAGTTTAACGAAACCACTTATTATTTATCGAGGCTAACATTTCTCTTTTCTACCTACACGCAGGAAAACAATTTTCAACAAAAATTATCTATTCCAGAGGGCGGGACGACCTTCAGAGGAACCGGCTATCGTTGTTTGCGTTTCTACGGTTTACTTTTTTCTTTCTTGATTTTTTCGCTTTGAGATACGATTTTGATTATACAAAAACTTGACACGATATTGATAGTATCCTGAATTTTCACTGAGACAACTAACTCTCTTTGGAATTGGCGAATAAATTTTCAACCGAGATCGAAGGAACTTTTCACAAACTCTTCGAATTTCAAACATTTCATGCTTGAGATTTTTCCATCATTAAGCATTAAATAAGCGATCATAATATTAGCATAAATTTTTCATCTGCAATTATATAACTTTTAGAGAAAGCATTTAATTCGCGTCCCGTGACTTGTGAGTTTATGACGTGTCACTTGTACTTCCTTAACGAGAATTTTTTTTATATTTACAGACCTTGATTGAAAAACTGCACCCTAGATTCAACCTTACACAATCTTAATAATAATGGACTCACTCGAAAACAGATGAGTCATTCTGGTCTCCCCAAATCATGATTTCAGAAATAGATCTCAATGTTTCCACCAACAGATTTCTGTTCTGGTTTGTCACTGTCGAATTCTTCACCAAAACCATGTGAAGGTATCTAAAATAAAACATTACTAGTTGTGCACGGAAGTTCACTTGGGAATGTCACACAATCCATTTTCACCATTTACTTATCCAGCAACCGTTACTTGAGTAGTTCAGTTTCATATTCAAATTTTGTTTTTAAAAAAAGTGATATGTTACAATAGGTTTTGAGCATACTGCATGTATTAAATTTGAAAACAAAACGCATATATGTCATTTCATTTTCAATCAATTGTAAATGCTACTAAGATAGTTTTTGTAAATACCTTACACTGCCAGATGAAATGTTATTCAAAAACTCAAAATTTACACTTCTTTTGCCAAAAAAAATTGACTTTTGAAATAAATTATAAATTCTGTTCAAAGTAAAACAAAAAGCAACCCAGCCACGTAACTTAAACCTGCCACCTATTGTAATATATCGCCAGAACAAATTGAGGAAAATATACAGAAGTTCATTGTTCCGACTATTTGAAAAATCAGGAGGAACTTTGTATTAGGGGTTTTTTTTTATCTTTTTTTGTTTTCCATGCAAACCAGCTACCGCAAATAATCATCGGAGTTGAGTGATATATCATATTAAAACCCTTACAGTCCTGATTTTTTTTTTTGGATTTTTCTTCGTTTTTCCAGTCATTTTTCTGCAAAAATTGTTTTTCAATTTGCCTAATTTACTATGACTGTCGAATATGCCAAATCTCTAGTTTTTCGTTCAGATCCTTTTTACCACACCCCGCCGAAAAAAAACTTGGAAAAACTTTTTTTTGTAATATTTTTTAAAAAATATGGTTGGAACATTCTGTGCTGTTTGCACAGTAATTGGCTATTCTTGTTTTAATCGGAAATTAGATATCTTTGATTAGAGATCGAATAGTTATAAAAACTCAAATATTAACCCCTAGGTTTATTTGTTCTTTGCAAGTGAAACACAGCCCAGGAAAATAACCAAAAAAAATTGCATGTAGTTCTTAAAACAGGGTTACAACAGCGATTCGCCGTGATGAGCTGTACAGCTCTTGTGTTGGTCCTTTCCCCCGTGGATAAATGGTCTTAACCTTAAGAAAAAATAAAATTACCCAGATAAAATTATAATTTCAGAATATACTGAATATTTGCGCTTTAACTGACCAAACTATATTCACACAGAGAAGATAGTCAGCAGGTTAATCTATGAGCCCAAATAAAAATTAAACGCTATCCGATTAAATTTGTAACCGAAAAAACTCAAAGTACACGGTTTTTATAAATATCTTACAAACATCAAAATGCTACACTGAAGTCCGGACTATATATTCACTTACTGCAATGTACTTACTTCAAGTTTTCAAGCGAGTGGTAATTCTTAGGCTTCCACCTTGATGGAAAGACCTTGGACAGCATTCTAGACATCTGAAAAAAAAAATCTAACATAATTGCTCGCCTTCCAAATACATGTCCGAAATCTAGAATCACAAATCACAATTAAAAATTTTTACTTCGTCTAATTCAAGTTTAATAATTATTTTTTAATTTTTAAGAAAATTTTTATTTTTTGGCAGCTAGTTGTAATCGCTGCTGCTGCAGCATTTTTTTCTGCTTCAGTCTTTTTGAGGCCACTTTGTCTCTCGCAGCATTTATCCGTTCTTCCAGTTTCGTCCTCATCCCTGCTTTTTCGGCAGAGACATCAGTTGAAGCGCCATCCTGGTACTCGTGGTTCAATTTGGAAGGGTATTTGGACAGATATGAAACTGATTCAACTACGCCTTCCGATGTTAAACTAGTGGCCTAGAAAGTGAAACTGTCAGTTAATGAGAACGGTACACTAAAAATTCTGATCAGTCATCTGCGCAAAAAGAATTTAAGTTATGAAAAAATTGCAGATTTCAAAAATGTGTTTTTTTTTTCACTGAGCGTTGCGTTCAGGATAATTATTACAAAGACAAGCTTGTAACTTCAAGCAAAGAAAGGTTTGTAATATACGTAATTAATATTAAACCACAAACCTGTTTATACAATTTAGGATCCAAATTTCGAAGAGCGTACAGGGCATCCCATTGACGTTTGACAAACTTCCCAATAGCTATCTTATCATTATGATTCTGTTTGTCTCTGAATCTGGACCACTTAATATCGAGGATCGCTCTTTCATTTATTTCTGCGAAAGATTTTGGCTCGCCACTTTGACGTTGTCTGAAAAGTAGCTAAATTGTTACTGGTTGTTATCGAAATATTTAACGTGCAAGATAAAAAACTACAAAGCAAGATACGTTTTTCTAGATGCCAGCACATGCTAGTGCTCAGTATGATAAAACTAGATGGGTAATTTTCTTGGGTTCACAATGGTTTCTTACCTATTCGTTTCCATCAAATCATAATTGGTCTCTTTGTCAGGAACTATTCTCTTCTGTAAATTATCGTACAATTTGTCCAAAACGAGCTGTTTCTTTTTTCGTCTTTTCTCTGCCGCTTGGAGCAAAACCAAATTTGCAGTCTTGCCTTTTAAAGCCAGTCTAAAATAAAGGGCAAATAAGAATCAAATAAATCAATTCATAAAAAAATCTGTTTTGAAACGCACTTGAAGGAAATATGACCAGCTCAATCAATTCTTTTCAATCGTTTTTAAACAAGAGAAGCCACTTCAGTTTTGCGCAGGAAATGCATTGAAGTTTCAAGATAATTTAAATGGGCCCTTCAGAAAATTCATAAGAGAAGATACTTTGCAGATAACAAAAAATCTATATATTTCTTCGCGATCAATACAAAAACAAACCGAACCTTAACTTTTATTTTTACATGTAAATTACCCAAAACACGCATTGATTAATATTCAAGTATTGGCGTCTCACAAGAGCTAAAAACAGTTTCTTATATACTATTCTTATAAAAATATTCATCTAGCAAACTCAAAAATTTGAGTCCTGCACATCCAGACACAAAATGATTCGCGTAGGTAAATAAATTTTTTAAAAAATGGAAAAAGCAAAGCCGACAATTTAATCATACACATTGAAAATTTGGAATTCGTGAAACAGAATTTTTTGAATCTTTGGAATCACTTGCAATACAACGCAAGCATAGCAATGCAAGCTGCCAAATAGTCTGAGATACAAATATTAAGTCAAAAAAAACTTGGAAAAATCAAGAAAAAAGGATACAATCAACCCCCCCCCAAAAAAAAACAAAGACGAGAAACACATCCACTAGCATAAAACACACTTTTAGTAATTTCTGAGAGCTCACTAAGCCAACAACACGGTGTTAGACATCAATTGATCTGACACCAAAACTGGCAAAGGAAATTGAGGCCATGTAAAAATCAACAACTGTTTTGGAAAACGAAACATTCAATCTCAAAAAACAGACTGAAAACACAACCACAAGCAAGATTGCAGTATTTTCCAAGCGTTAAAAAGCCAACAACACGCGGTTGACGCCAATTAATCCTAAAAACAAAAAAGGCCAAAGCAAATTGTTGCCATGAAAAAATCACTTTTTTTTCGGAAATACAAAAATTCAATTTCAACACAGATGCGAAGCGAAGCTTCGCACCATTTGCGACACAAAACAAATAAAATAACATCAGTCGAAAAAAAATTAAGATATTGAAAAAACTAAGAACCAAATTTTTCGAAAGTCTCGATTAAAAACAACTACAGGCAAGAGTAAACATGGAGGTATGTGTTAAACATTGAATGAGTTTTCTGCACTGATGCGACATGAAAAAAGTGATTTCAAAAATAGGACTTTGCTAAAACATTAATTATTTCTCTGCTAAAATAAAAGAGAAGTGTAAAAAATTTTGAAATAATCAATTTTCCCACGGAGATAATATTTCTACAAAAAAAAAAGAAATCGCTGCTTCTTCAGCAACATTTATTGCAACCCGTTCTTTGAATGGAAACTTTCAACTCAGATTTGATGTGTAAATTTGAAAATTAAGAAACCTTCAGCAGACTTTTCAAAATCTATAAAATTTTTCTTCACAAAGTAAGTCATGGCGACTTAAGCAGAGAAGATTTCCAAAGCCGGGTTCCTCGAATGAACACAACCTGAGAACTGGCCCGGTAGTTTTCGCGTAAAGTCAATGATATTTCAAAAAACTGTCAAATTTTCGAAATTTTGACTTCTTTGAAGGCCATAACTTTGCTACAACAAACTGGGCATAGCTTACTTGAAAGGTACGCTTTCAACAACCTGTTCATTCAATTAAACCAATAATATCAATTTTGGCAAAATAGTTCGCGAGAAACGTCAAAAAAAATGTCAACAAATCGACATTTAACTTTTCAGAGGTCCGCTAATGCACAAAAACTTCACACTACCCGTTATCTCATTGAACCCGCAATATCAGATTCGGGAGATAAATTTTCGAGAAAAATCAAAATCTTTTAACATAAACTGTCACAAAACCAAATTTTTTCTTTACCGAGGGCCAAAACTTTTGAAGTAAAAAAAAATTGGGCGTGGTCGCATAAGCAAACGAACTTCTCGCGTCCCGTTCTGAGAATTGAACTAAAAATCTTAGGTATGGCACGGTAGTTTTTGAGAGTATTCAAATCAAAAACTTGACTATTCCGAGGGCCATAACTTTATGTACAATATAGGGGTAGGATGTGATCAATATAATGTGATCCTTATGAGCGATATATATGTGCAAACAGGAATAAGTGGTCTTTCAATTGACAACCCTTTTTGATAATCAGAAGTTTCTGAGAAAAAGTAAAATTTTTGCAAAAAGTGAAAAAAAAAATTCCAAAATGAAAAAAAATGAAACTTTAGCAAACAGCCATGTAAACATACAACCAGCTTAAAAAGTGCAGAGGGGAGTGTTATAGCTGTGTTGATCTTGAACCGTTCCGAAAATCGGTCCTTTAACCGGTGAAGAAAAAAAGCCGAAATAATTTTGGCCGAAGAATTTCTTTTAACTATTAAAAAAAAAGAAATCTGGAGTCAAGTTATGTAAAACTACAAAAACTAGATGTAAGTCAAACACTGAAAACAATTAATAAAAAATGCGCGCAGAAAAATGCGATTCCAAGATGTGACAACTAAGCTAAGCCAACAACAGATAAGCACACAAATAATTGGCTGACAATTTATTTGAAACAGAATATTTCCCCTCTCAGACTCGAACCCAGTACCTTTGCCGTCCCAGGCATATTCGTTATCTACAGGCTAAGTCGGCCCGGAACGCTATGAAATTTGAATACCTAATGAAACAAGGTAGAGATGAGTCCAGATGAATCCTGTGGACAAAGTTGTAAACGGGAAAAAAGTCTAGTACTCGGTTGCAAAACCCTAGCTTACCGCAAGGGTAAAAAACAGACGGAAAACACAACCACCAGCAATGAGCAAATTTTTATTCTTTTTCGAGCGTCCACTTAACCATCAACACAGGTTTAGACGCCAATTGATCCGAAAAACAAAAAAAGCGAAAGCAAATTGTTGCCATGAAAAAATCACTTTTTTTTGGAAATACAAAAATTCAATTTCAACACAGGCGAAGCGAAGCTTCACACCACTTGCGGCACAATACAAACAAAGTAACATCAGTCGAAAAAAAAATTAAGATATTGACAAAACTAAGAACCAAATTTTTCGAAAGTCTCGATAAAAAACAACTACAGGCAAGAGTAAACATGGAGGTACGTGTTTAACATTGAATGAGTTTTCTGCACTGATGCGACATGAAAAAAGTTATTTCAAAAATAGCACTTTGCCTAAAACATTGATTGTTTCTCTGCTAAAATAAAAGAGAAGAGTTAAAATTTTGAGATAATCAATTTTCCCAAGGAGATAAAATTTCTACAAAAAAATAGGAAATCGCTGCTTCTTCAGCAACATTTATTGCAACCCGTTCTTTGAATGGAAATTTTCAACTCAGATTTGATGTGTAAATTTGAGAATTAAGAAACCTTCAGCAGACTTTTCAAAATCTATAAAATTTTTCTTCACAAAGTAAGTCATGGCGACTTAAGCAGAGAAGATTTCCAAAGCCGGGTTCCTCGAATGAACACAACCTGAGAACTGGCCCGGTAGTTTTCGCGTAAAGTCAATGATATTTCAAAAAACTGTCAAATTTTCGAAATTTTGACTTCTTTGAAGGCCATAACTTTGCTACAACAAACTGGGCATAGCTTACTTGAAAGGTACGCTTTCAACAACCTGTTCATTCAATTAAACCAATAATATCAATTTTGGCAAAATAGTTAGCGAGAAACGTCAAAAAAAATGTCAACAAATCGACATTTAACTTTTCAGAGGTCCGCTAAGGCACAAAAGCTTCACACTACCCGTTATCTCATTGAACCCGCAATATCAGATTCGGGAGATAAATTTTCGAGAAAAATCAAAATCTTTTAACATAAACTGTCACAAAACCAAATTTTTTCTTTACCGAGGGCCAAAACT